TCATGCTATAATTCACAGGTTTTCTTTTATTTTTCTCTTTTTTATGGGCTTCGTAGCACGATATTCGAAGATTGAGCTCCTTTCCTGCGACTTATAGGTAGCTCGTCCAGCGAGAAGATAAGAGGAACATCAAAAAGAGAAAGTTCCTTCTGAAAGTTGATCAAAAGTTGTATTTGCTTGCTGACCTCTGTTTTAGACGAATGTATTTCTTTTCATGTACTATTACAATGCTAAAAGCTATTTGTCTTAAATTAACTTTATTTAACTAGTAAATATAACTTTTTAAATAGAATTTAAAAAGAAATACATTTTTATGAATTATTTTGCTTTTCTAATATCAATATCTTTAAAAGTAAATTCCAGATGTTTGGTAAGCAAACAGTTAAATCATATGTTTATCTTTGCCGTTTCTTTAAAATAAACAAAGACATATGATTTAACTTTGTTTACCAAATAATTAGAACAATTTATAAAATAGTTATTCTAGAAAACAATAATTTTCAAATTATATAGTTTGTTCTTAAACAGACTGACTTTTTCTTATATACTTTCTTATATATTTTCTTATATAACTTTTTCTTATTATATGATATTTTTCCATATAAATTTTTTCTTAAAGCAATTTTGTATATCGATTTAATATAGTTTCGTATTTTCCCTTTTTCTCTTGATTAAATGCAAAGCCGCAAATGTTTTAGTGTAAAAATAGAAATGTTAATAAATGGGTGATACTAAAAAGTATACTTGTATTAAAACTCAAAACATATTTATCGATTTTTTGTTTTAAAATTTGCGATTCTATGCATGCAATTGAATGAGATGAAGAGATCACGAAACTGCATTATGTCGGTATATATTGCTTCATTATTTATCATGAAAATGTAATTTTTTTATAAAAAGTAGAGATAAATAACCAATATAACGTAGAGTAAGAAAATGTTATATTATTTCTAGGATATATATCAACCATGCCAAAACGAAAATTATTATCGCAAATGTCAGAAAGACATTACAGACGATTGAAACGTAATGCACTTAATATTGCAATTATAGAAAGTATAGATGAGCAATCCATAAATGAGCTATCAGTAGATAGTAATACATCAAATGTTACTGCCACTAATGATCATAACTTCGATCAAGCAATAAATGTAACAACAAGGAAAGAACTGTCGCAACACCATGACAATATCACTGATACTTACAATGAAAATACTACATATAATCTTTATTGTAACAGTGATTTTATTTTGAAGCAAAGTAATAATACTTTGAAGGACTCATGTCCAATCGCATCCATTTGTAACGAGAAAAATAATGATTTTACGAATTTGTCTTCTATTCAATTAATTAAGGGCGAGTTAATAAACTGGGCAGTACAATTTCAAATATCACAAATAGCAATTACAGCATTATTACAGATTTTAAGAAAATATAACTTTGACAGCTGTTTACCGAAAAACTGTAAAACGTTATTGAAAACAGCAAGATGTACGAGCATACGGAAAGTTGCTCCAGGAGAGTATTTTCATAATGGCTTAATATCAGGAATAATGGAATTTTTAAGAAATGATCCAGATAATGTTGATACCGTTAAAGTGCAAATTAGTATAGACGGACTACCAATCTCAAACTCTTCTACTAATCAATTGTGGCTTATCTTAGGCTCGATAGCGCCCAACTTTCGTACCATTTTTATTATTGGATGTTATTTTGGTCCCAAGAAACCAGACGACTGTAACGATTTTTTGCGTGATTTTGTGAATGAAGCAAAAAATGTTGTAACTGATGGACTTGATTATGGAGGAAAGCATATATGTATATCCATACATTCTTTAATTGCTGATGCACCTGCAAAGTCTTTTGTAACAGCTACAAAAGAGTATACAGGTTACTTTAGTTGTGCGAAATGTACAACTGAAGGTGAATACATTCTACACAGAATGTGTTTCCCAAATATAAATTGTCCTGAACGGACAAACGACAGCTTTATTAAGCAATCACAAAAAGAACATCATATTGGACAGAGTATATTAATAAATATTCCAAATTTTGGATTAATTAGTCACATCCCGTTGGATTATATGCATTTGGTTTGCATTGGTGTAGTAAAGAAAATGTTGAACTTTTTGTTATCGGGGCCGTTAAATGTACGATTGCCAACACAAGTAATACACAACATTTCGAGGTTGTTAATTGGAATGCGCACATCAATACCTATAGAATTTGTTCGTAAACCACGAGAATTGCATTTCTTAAGTTTATGGAAAGCCACTGAGTTGAGACAATTTCTTTTATATACGGGTCCAATTATTTTAAAGAAGTACATAAATAAAGATGTTTATAGAAATTTTTTAACGTGGCCATTCGGCTACTATGTTCTCCACAGCTTTCTTTCGTTTCTTATGCGGAATCTTTACTAGAACATTTTGTACGGTCATTCACAATCTTATATGGACCGCAGCATATCTCTCACAATGTACATGCGTTAATTCATTTAGTGGATGATGTTCTATCAAATTAAATTTATGTTATTATGATGATGTTAGAAAATTTGGAACATTGGACACATTCAGCGCTTTTCGATATGAAAATTATTTAAGAAAAGTAAAACGGTTTATTAGAAAAGCTGAACGTCCATTGCAACAAATCCACAATCGTTTAACAGAATTGAAACATGGTTTACTATTCAAAGAAGAATGTCGAAAAATAGGTGTATATGGAATACACAATGCAGGACCTATTTTACCCGGGATAAATAGTCCTCAATATTCAATATTTATAACAGCAGATTTTACTTTATCTATTCACAAACCAAATAACTGTTGTGGATTAAATAATGGCTCAATTGTAGCAATAAAGAATATTGCTACAACGACCTCTAATAAACTTTGTATTATTGGTCGAGAATTCCTTAATTTGAGTGACTTCTATACGGAACCGTGCAATTCCTCTTTGTTGGGAATATATAAATCTAACGAATATGGATATTTATCAGTTTGGCCTATAACGTTTGTTACGACGAAATATGTGAAATTTGACCTTTGCAATTCTGCATTTATACTTTTACCATTGTTACATACAGAAAAGATGTAATTTTGTTCTTCATACATCTTGTTAGTAAGTATGTTATGCAAATATATATATCTTTCAGATGTAAGATATTAACTACAAGATGTCTCTTTGTACAAATAAATTTAATTTGATAGAATTTGAAGATGGATTACAAGTGATACCAGATAACTGGATACAAAAGGAAAAAAATGAATGTTTATATCCAAATTATAAAACAGATAAAGATATAGATGCAGCGATTAGAACACGACAAACACCTCAAGATAATTGGTTATTATATCCAATTAAACGAATCTTTGGTACATATGGTAAGTGAATGTAACGCGAATTCTTTGACTCATCTAATAAGGTTGACTTGGAATCGACTAAACTCATATTTCGACTGTACTAATAATTCTGGAATGTGATGAAGCGTAACATATAACGGTCTTGTTATATACTTCATATATTTTGCGATATATCGTTTATTTTTAGATATTTTTAACTAATTGTGATAATAGAATGTTTCTGTTAGTACATTCAATCCACCTTACGAGAAATATAACAGTTTGCACCTTGTTGTACGAAGGTTAACCTTTTTTATTCATTATTGTTTATTTAAAGAAGATGTTTATAAAGATATAATTATATTCTATTTGCAAAGAATGGTTGAGAATTATTATGACATAAATATCTTGTACGTTTAGAGTCTTACAATGAAGCACGCAATAAACTAAAAAAGGCTGAGATAGATTCTGATATTACGGATACTGACAAAGCACAAAGAAAAATTAAAGCCAGGAAAGTGATTAGTTCCGATGATGATATTAACGATGATGATGATGATGATGATGATGATCATGAAAACAATTGTCAAACTCGTTTACCATCATATCCAAAAGCGTCTAAGGTTTATAGGAGTAAGTAATATTAAAATTAATTTTATTACACGTGTTTTCAGATATGCGTACAAGTATAAGACCATTAAATATTTGTAGATATTAGAACAAAACATAAAGATATGCAATGTGTGCGCCATTTTAGTCTTTTCTCTGATTTCTTACCGATCTCTCCCTCTCTCTCTCATCAGTCTCTCCCTCCTTAAAAAAATTTCTTAAAATCGGAATAAATCCATCGAATCCAGAGCGAATTGTCCCGAATAGCATTAAAAAAAATCGAGGACGAGTGAAAAATTCGGATTATACCGGTAAAATTGGGATGCTTAATTATCTCAGAATATCTTAAAATATTTAATTTGCCATTTGTTTCTAATTATTAAATTTTGATCCTAAATTTTATAGTTATATATCCGCTATTTTAAATTTTGCAATTTGAATTTCAAATTTGTTATCAGCAATCAAAAAGTTATACGTATTAATTTTCGAAACGATTGGTTCAAATTTACTAAACTTAAACATTTATTGACTGCTATACTGTATTCGCTGCTTTTAATTTTACAATTCTAATTCAGGTTTGTTATTAGCGATCAAACGATAAATACATAGTATCTTAATATTAGATGTATGTACATTTAACTTTTTAATTAAATAGATATTTATCATATACAAAGTATCGAAGAAGCAATGTACTTTTTATACTACATTACAAATTTTTTTTTTATATGAACTATTCCTTTTTTTTTGCAACAGACATACGTTCCAACTAAAAAAATTGTCTTCCTAAATACTATAACAGAGATCACTAAAATACATTGATTCGTTCCAAAATACAGTTCTTTAAATTCTTTTTGGGATACGTCTCATAAAAATGGAAATAGTTAATATTGTTTTTTATTATATATGATCTACATTAAAGTAGAGTGGTCGACTTTTTCAGATACCAAACATGTAGATTCAGGTACCAAAAAGAACATAGTAAACACTATATGTCAAATAATCGATCATCACTAAATGCTTCGACTTCTCATAAATCAATGTTTGCAAAACAAGCAAAACACGATGATATCGATACATGTAATCGAACAATAATGAATGATATTGCCAGCAATCGTATTATTCCTGCAGAAAGTTCTGCCATCATGCGAGAAGATTATGTGGAATTGAAAAATAAAGAATACATTGCAATTAAAAGTAAGAAGAAAATAACTTAATAATAGATTAAAATTAGATAAAATGTCTCAATTGAGAAGCCATCAGACAGCATAAGTCTCCAAAGAGTCTTAGTATTCTTAAGATGGAAAATGTCCTTTAGACATCTTTAAAATGTCCTTTGAAAATTTATGCTATCTGAAAGGGAATATTTAAAAAATTGCATTTTTATAATATATATTAATTTATTTTCTTATATATTACATATATTTATGTCACTAGATTATTTTCAACGTATTGAGAGAATGTTGATAGAAATAAAATTTGACATTAATTGTCTAACTGAACAATATCAACATATAAATAATAAATGTTTCTCAAATGAGGCACAAGAACGTCATAATTCTACATCAACTGATGAATTAAGTGAGTTATCCTTCCCTCTGAAAACTATAGAAGAAGTCGAGTCACTAGAACGCATTCTTACTTCAAACGGAGTAGGAATAAAAGAGCATATGGTGAGTTATGTAAAATATAGTAACATACAGAATATCTGACAGCATTTGTACCAAAGCTAATATATAGTTAAAATAAATCGGGGTTAGTAATAGAATTGGTGCTTTTTTTCAACCACGTTAAATTTTGAAACATTAACGGCGAAAAATTTCTACTGAGCCAGCCTACTAGCTAATTAGCGCACGCGCTGTAATGGAACAAATACTACAAATAGTACGCGCTGTAACATGAGTATAGGAGACTAGCCGCACGAAAAAATTTTCGTTGTTAATATCTTAAAATTTCACGTGGTGATAAAAAAACCATCATTTCTATTATTAATCCCGACTTATTCTAGCTATATATCAGTTTTGGTACAGACATCCTGTATATACATTCCTTTTATGTATGTTCCTCAAGTAATACGAAAATATTTCAGTTTAACATATTAGCAATGATTGGTGGGACTAGCTATGAAGAAATGTCAAAAAGGATGCTTCTTTATGTTTTTACGAATGAAGTAGCTAGTATGTACAGTTAGGTAGGAGGTAAAGGAAAACGGAAACTTCATAATTTCGAAATAATGAAATTAATGTTTAGTAAGTATAAAGATTTTATAATAAAGAGAGATATTAATTTTTGAATATTAAAATACCTATGGGTGACGAAACTTCTACATAAATAGTTATTCAATTAATATATTAGTAATTAATTTCATTTTTTGACAAATTTAATATTGTTATTCTAGCACAACAAATTTTATGATACCGCGAAAATATTAAGAATTATTTAATAATATGAATATAATATAAATAATAGAAAATTAAACATTAACTGAAACTGTTGCAGAAGTTGTCAGGAAGACATTCCCTAATGTTACAGAAAAGAATTTTGAAATTAAATGCAAAGATTGGTTCCGACACGCGAAACACAGAGCTGAAAACGAAAAATGACGGCAAAGTTCAACAAAGGTTAGTTTTATATGTAACTGCATTTCTCTTAAAATTAAGTAAATGCATACTTTTCTTTTAATTTCTTAAAAAACATAAGCATATGAAATATAGTATATACATAAAACTGAAATGTAATTTGTTTCATTGTTTCAGTAAAGTCGTCAGCTACATTTCTCAACTACAGTTCGCAGCTACAGAATTCTCAGTGTTCAGATTAATTAATCTTTAATATAAAAAATATTTTATGTTATAATGTTAATTGAGAGCCTATGTTTTTATATTAATTATAGATATAGTTGCAACTGTATTTTTGTATTACTACAACTACGTTATATATATATATATATATTATAACTTGAGATTATAAAAAATAATAATATATATTATAATCAAATAAGATAGCAATAATAATAAACAAATAATAATAATAATGAACAAATAAAATCAATATTTGTATAATTATAATTCATCTTTTTAAAGTAATTTTTTCCAGGTAGCAGGAATTGTAAGACTCATAATTAACATTTATTTCTAAGATCATCTTAAATTTATCCGATGAAATGCGGACTATTTTATTGGTTACAGAACATCTGAGGATATACTCAAGACAGTTTTGGAAATAAGTCTCAATTATGATTACAAGTCTAAGGGATGTCTTTAAACGTTAAACATCTGTGATGAGGATACTGTCAAATATCTTTTGTGTGTGTATTTGAGTAGATGGTCACGCGTGTAACTGAATGATGGTTGTGTGCTCGCAATTCATCACTGGCTAGCCTGCTCTTAACGTTACCCGGGGTCAACGACGTGAACGTGGCAGGAATCTGATCCCTGTGTTTATGCGCGCGCGCGCGCGCGTGTGTGTGTGTGTGTGTGCACGTGTGTGTGCACGTGTGTGTGCACGTGTGTGCGCGCGCGTGTGTGTGCATGTATATAAAGCATTATTGCATACAAATTATATTGCAAGTGTTGTTGCAATGTTATACCACCAAAAAATATATCATTAAAATGACACTTGCAATCTGTTCTATATACTTGCAAAATGCTCCGGACGGTCCTCTTATGCCGAAATAAATATTATATAACCGCAAAATAAATGCTACAAAATCGACTGATTTCCTGTCAAAATCAGTCGATTTTATAACATTTATTTAACGGTTATATAATATTTATTTCGGCATAAGAGGACCGTCCGGAGCATTTTGCAAGTATATAGAACAGATTGCAAGTGTCATTTTAATGATATATTTTTTTATTTGGCTGTAAATCGCAAGAATTTTTGACATGCATTTCCGCGCTTCTGACGTCATAATCCAATATGGCTGCACTACCCAGGAGCCTTAATGACAATAATTATCGGAACGTAATTTCGTAATATATACACCGCTCACATACTAACATATTATTTTATTTTAGCACTGTGTGATTTGAAATGTTGCTACAAAATTGCAGATATAATAATGCAAAATATTTTTCTGCAATGTCTCTGCAATGTGTAATGTTGCAATGTTGCAGCAATGTTGCTGCAATTATCTGTGCTGTATGGAAAATATCTATAGATATGAGCTCAAATATTCTTTGAATATCTATTATATATCGAATTGTGGACATTTAGATATTTATGTAATTATATGTCCAATAAATAGTAGATATTCATGGATATTCTCAATACCCATGGATATTCAAATACATATTTAGTAGATATTCATGGATATTCTCAATATCTGTCGAGAATATCTAATGGATATTTCATAGATATTTTTATAAATATCCACTGCACGTCTATTAGATACTTATTAAATATCCATATAAATATTCACTAGATATGATAAGGATATCTAATAGATATTTCCTTAGATATCCTTTGGATATCTGTTAAATATCGAATTGTGGACATTTGGATATCTATGCAATGTACAATGGATATTCAGTAGATATTTGTAGATATTCTCAATATCTATGGATATTCAAATATTTAGTAGATATTCATTTAGTAGATATTTTCGACGGATATTCTTAATATCCGTCGAAAATATCTAATGGATATTTAATAGATATTTTTATAAATATCCACTGGACATCTATTAAATATTTATTAAATATCCATATAAATATCCACTAGATATGATAAAGATATCTAATAGATGTTTCCTTGGATATCTTATGGATATCTGTTAGATATCGAATTGCGGACATTTGGATATCTATGCAACGTACAATAGATATTCAGTAGATATTCATGGATATCCTGAATATCCATTGTGGATATCAAATGAATATCTAATAGATATTATTTTCTGTATGAGTATAGACGGACAAGGAGAAAAGGGAAGTATAATCCATATTTCGTAGAAAATATTTTTTATTCGTATATAATTATAGGATTACATCAGTTTCATATTAAAATACATATAATTAGTCATGCTGAAGCGTAAATTTTTGTGGAATTTTTCAACGAGGTATCGTCATAAATTAATTCGAGAAAGTGATGATTTGTTTCCATTACATTTTAATGAAGAACCTACAGCTAATTTGGATATTATTACAAATAATTCCGTTATAAATAATGATCAGAATGTAATATCAAATAATTCCGCTTCGGTTAATGAGCAGGAGATTGTACATTTAGATTTCTACAACGCTGTTTCCTGCACTGTACAAGAAACAAATAATCTATCCCTTTCCGATGAAAGGAGTTTCTTAGAATTTGATGGTTTTTCGGGTAATACATCCACAAATCTAACTGTCACAAGAGAGAGCAATAATGTAGAACAAGAAAACGATTTTTTCAAGGCATTTTTAATTCAATGGGCTATCACACATCGTATTTCTCATGTAGCTCTATCTCATTTATTGTCTGGTTTGAGAAAAACACGTTCAATTTTTTTTAATTTACCACAATGTGCAAAGACATTATTACACACACCACGGTTTTCTATTATTACTGATATTTCTCCTGGACAATATTGCCATTTCAATATTGACAATAGTATTCATAAATTTTTAAATAAAAGTAATAATATTAATTTATCTCAAATTAAGATTCAAATTGATATTGATGGCGTTCTAATATCTAGATCTAATTCCAATCAATTATGGCTCATATTAGGCCGAATCATGCCTCACAAAAACCTATTCCTTATTGGTTGCTATTTTGGTCAAATAAAGCCATCGGATGCTAATAAATTCCTACAACAATTTGTAACAGATATCAGTACTTTGATTAATACGGGTATAGCTTACAATGATATTACAGTTCCAGTATCAATACATTCTATTATATGTGATGCTCCAGCTAAATCTTTCATTATCTTAACTAAAGGGCATACAGGTTATTTCAGTTATTCAAAATGTACTGTTGAAGGTGAATTTATCGCTAATAGAATTTGTTTCCCCAATATTGATTGCCAGAAAAGAACAGACGCTAGTTTTTATAATCAATCTCAAGAAGAACGTCATCTTGGTCGATCTATTTTAGTAAACATTCCAAATTTTGGTATTGTATCTCAAATTCCATTAGATTTCATGCATTTAATATGCATCGGTGTTGTCGAAAAATTGATAAAATTTTGGATAAGTGGTCCTTTTAAAAGTAGATGTTTAACCTCGCAAAAACTAAAAAATATTTCCAAATTCTTGCTTGATATCAGGTTTCTCATTCCAAAAAGAATTTGCAAGAAGATCACGAGAAATAAAAGATTTTGAACAATGGAAAGCAACCGAACTAACAAGGGGAGGACGCATCGACCGGGAAACGGTTTGGAACGAAACTTACGGAGTTAATAGTACTTGACTACTAATAACTCATGGTAATAGCATACGACGCAATATCTCTTCGTTTTCGAGAAAAAATGGTCTAAAGAAAAGAGCCAACAAAGTGTACGAGTTAGTAAGAGAAGTATTCAACGAAGCAGCGTAGCACAGCAGCGAAGGTAACGAACTACCGAGCTGACGGCTGAGGTTCGATCCCTGCTGTATGGTTTTTTTTATTCTGTAAGCATAAAAATGAAACAGAAAACATTAATAAGTAAAACTGCGTTTCTTAAATATATTAGTGTTTGTTAAATATATTATTAATGATTTAAATTGCAAAAAGACCGTAAATCTTATCTATAAAATATATAGTGTATGAGAAAATTTTTATATAATAATTGCAATGGAAATAGGAATAAAAATATTGTTATGAAATATATAGGAATGCTATTACCCTTTGCGGTCGATGCCGCCAGGTTGGTATTCATGATTGCCTGGCGTGCGGCACGGCAAATGAGGCTAGCGATAATGAAAGAAAACTATCCTCCCGATGCTAGATTCAAATGTTTAGATCAACTTATAGATATCCATGTACATCGATCTCTTCGAAATCGGCCGATCGCAAAGGGTTAAACTAATATGAGATAATTTTTCGTAATCTTATATTGTATACAGGGTGCACGATTTATCTGAAGACATTGAAATATCTCGAGAACTATGCATTGGATAAAAAAAAGTGGTTAATGAAAGTTGTTAGTCTCGAAGGGGGACATCCAATGATACCAAACTCGACCTCTCACCCCACCCCCTGGGGGTGGGGGTTGGGGGCAACTTTGAAATCTTAAATGGAAACCCCCATTTTTTATTGCAGATACGGATTCTACGCTACAAAATACGTAAATTTTGTTCGAAACTTTTTATTTTATTCGTGATAGATGGCGCTGTAATCGCAAAAAATTATATTTTCCGCAATTCTCCAGAAATGATCATTGGATTGAGAAATAAAAAATACCTGTTCAATATTTTTAAAGAACATAATAAAAGTTAATCCCCCCCCCATCCTCTCGGGGTAGGGTGGGTGATAACGTTCAAATCTCAAATGGAGACCCACATTTTTCATTGCAGAATTAGATTGTACGTGAAATTTTTATTGAAACAATTTTTTTCATTTGTGATAGATAGCGTTGAATTTTTCCGAGAAACTACTTTTAGCGTTACACAGGAACAACGTCGAGGACGTAGTAGTTTTATGTTCCCTTCGGGTGCTTTTTTAATGTGAGTGTTTCAATAAATTGTTTCAATAAAAATTTCACGTACAATCTAATTCTGCAATGAAAAATATGGGTCCCCATTTGAGATTTGAACGTTACCACCCACCCTACCCCGAAAGGATGGGGGAGGGGAATAACTTTTGTTATGTTCTTTAAAAATATTGAACAGGTATTTTTTATTTCTCAATCCAATGATCATTTCTGGAGAATTGCGGAAAATATAATTTTTTGCGATTACAGCGCCATCTATCACGAATAAAAAAAAAAGTTTCGGACAAAATTTACATATTTTGTGGCGT